AACATCTTGTTGGTGAGATTGTAAATCTAGTAATTTATTAAACAAAATTTGATGAAAATTTTCACCGAATTTAGGACTAGTGGTTAACAATAACGATTCCATCGTTTCAAAAGGATGATTAATCCATTTGTTAACAGTTTCTAAATCTATTTTATTGACCTCTTTAGCGGTGGGATATGGGATTGCCTCCGTAATCTGTGAAATGAGAACCAGTAAATTGGTAAGGTTAGAAATTGGTCTTTTGCAATAGTGACTTAAAAATATAAGATACTGAAGTTTCAGCGCGTAAAATGATTTTAGTAAACGTACGATTAACTATATGACACATACAATAAATCCAATGTCTGTAATGCTGATAGTTAGTTGAATATTTTCAAGCAAACAAAGTTGGAAATTTGAACTTTCTGTCGTCGATTTGGTAGTTTGAGGGATTTTTATAGAATTAGGTATAATACCATATTCATATTCGGAAAGTATGTTTGTTAGTTCTTGAGACACAAAAGATTGCGATTGTGTTGGTGTTGACATTTTTTATGAGACGAAATTTTTTAGGAACAATGATAACGATAATCAGTAATCAATATTGACTCGTATATTTATTGAAATAATTAACATATATCTGATATTTACTATCTATACCTCTATACCGAACTAATGGTTCTTATAGTAAAAAAATTTTCAAAAGTTTATGAATTATATTGAACCATATATTAAATTTTCGTTATAGAGAAGTTTGATTGTATATATCGATATCTGATATTAATATGTCTAATCTACTTATTTACAAAACCATTTACAAATATACATAAGTATCCTTTTATCAGCGGATAGATGAAATCACGAGAGAGTGTTAAGAGTTCCATGGTGTTCTATGACATGTATCCTTATAAGTCCAGTAATTTGGATTGGAATTGGGCTTATAAGTTCAATGTTCCAGTTTATAAGTCCAGTAGAACAAAGTTTGTCCAATTGCCAACACTGCAAGTATCAATGTCGAATCAATTTTCGATAAAAGTCATGCCAGTTGCTATAGTGATATAAGGAAATAAAACTCTTCCTACCCAATTTGACAAAGAAAGTGATTGCCCTAATTTAAATATTCGTCCCAATGAACGTCACAATATTTTTTTAAATGCCAACTTCTTGGTTTTTTCCATTTACGTTGTTTAACACCATGCATTTTTGTAATGTAATAATAATACCTTTCGTCACTAAGATATTTTACAAGTTTTGGTAAATCCGTACTATGTACTGATAACAGCTTAAGTTCCAATGGCATCCCTTGTGATGAAGGTGATGATATAATTGATATTGATAATGAATTTGAAGACTCTCCCATTTGACCTATCATTGAAGAATTTCGCTGATTGGGAGTGTTTGGGGGATTACTGTAGTTTATGTTAGATATTGAAACCCTAGGAGAATTTGCCAACTCGCGGACATCTAAAACAATAACATTTTCGGACATGGGTGAAATTTCGGTTGGTAATGACGCCGATCTGTGTGCACTATATTTAATGTCTTTTTTATGTTGTGGTATAGGTGATGGATCGGACGATACAGAGCTTGACCGGGGTTTTACATGAGCAGTCAACGATGATGTGGATGTAGGTGTGGATCTCGTACGTCGTATATGTTGTGTTGATTCGGCTCGCAAAAGTTCACAGCATGACTTACATTTGCAGCTATTCTCGTGAGCATTTATGAAATATTCTGCTGGCGTTAATTTTTCCTATTACGCGTCAAATGAAATTTGTTATTATCGTTAAATTCTTTTCAAAAAATTAAATCGATTATGATGCATACCTTATCAATGCGTTTCACAACCATCTGTAAAAAAATAAAATAATAAATCTATTTAATTATTCCAATATTGGTATGCTAACGGAATGCAAAATAATCTTTTACTTACCTTCTTGCCATCTATTGTACTCTTAACCGTTATTGTTTCTGAATGCTTGCCGGTTCCACAAATTACCATTTCTTTCTTGTCTCTTTTAAATTTCTTAAATATTTCAGGAAATTTCTTAAATAATCCCCACTTTGATTTCTTTTTTTCAGATCCACCATCATTATGTTTTGTACATTTGACAATAACATAATTATTTCCTTGAGAAAGTTCGTTCAGCTTATTGACCAATGTTTGTCCGCAGCTTTCAAAAGCACAAGAACATTTAGGTTCGATCGGGCCTACGGAATGACGCTGAGTATGACGTTTTCGAGAACTTGATATAGGTTTTTCATTATGATGGATTCTATTATCGTCATTTTCATTTATCCTTGACGTTTGAAAAAATGTTGACTCTGTATTTTCGTCAATATCATTTTCTGGAATATGAAATACAACACTGAGCGGGGAATTTGGCATGTGGAATGAACGAGATGGTGAGCCAGAAGATCTGGCATTAAACTTTTGTGAGAGAGAAATTGATGAACTAGATTTGTATATTTGTGTTAATGAAGATGGAGATGACTCTTGACGTGACATTTCTGAACGGCTCGGATTGAGAATTGCCATTGATTGCATACAAAAAACTTACAAAATTTTGTTGTATGTATTCTTTTTTTCTTTTTTTTTTTTGACAGGTTTATTGTCAAAAAAAAAAAAAAAAAAAAAGTTGGCTAAGTTGATAATTTTTTAAAGGAATGAGGCGGGAGGAAGAGGGAGAGCACAAAACCAAAATTAACATTTTAGTGATTTATGTGGTTTTTTATAATTTTCCTAGCTATAACAGCGAATATGGAAGTTGAACAATGGCTAATATTGATCGATCAACCATTTAACTATGCATATATAATTTACTTGCATGTCAATTGGACGAATGGCTAATTTATGACTCAAAAGTATGCTTTCATTAATTTGTCCCATTACATACTAGGAAAGTCTAAATATCGTTTTTTATCTCACCAAAGAAAGGTCAAATAATTTATTTGTACAACAGGGATGATGGAATCTGACTAAGAATTATATGGATTTTTAGAAATGAAACTTTATTTCTAATATATTATTGTCATGGAATAATCCATTACATTCAAAAGAATTTTCTATAAAACATAATGATAAATGCGCATATATCCGATCTCCGCTGCTGTCATACAAAATTTCCACAACTCACCTGATTTATTGATTTATTCGCAAATGTATAACGGTAACGATAAATGATATTCTCTTTCCATTGTGTATTTAGTCTCATGGCGCAAAACAAAAACTAAAAAATTGTAAGCAATGTCAAGAATGAAATTCAACAAAATTGAGTCAAGAAAGGCGGAGCTCGGGGTATAATTGTAACACAATTCTAAGAAAGTAGTATTTGAATTATTTAAGGAAAGCTTTTTAAATATTCATAACGATAAGAGGATTTGATTTCTTATACATTAAATATACCTTAAAGTTCCGAAAGTAAGCAACCCCCTGAGCCACTCATTTTAACCAAATTTTTTAAGAGGATTGCTTAAATAATCAGTAACTCGTTTATTTATAAATAATTAATAAATTTATTATATAGCATTTAGCTTGAGGTATTGCTACAATTATGATTGTAGATAATAAACTATTAGCCTATAAGCAATGTTAAAAATATAAATTGTTGTAATTTTATGAATAAAAAAAAATAAAAAAATAAATAAAAAAAACAAACCAAAATACCAAAAGCAAAGTGTAATAAAAATCTG